TCGGGAATCGAACCCCGAACCACTTGCGTGGTTGGCGAGCATTCTACCGCTGTGCCACCGACGCACGATTCAGAGCCAGTGTTGTGCTTTATTCAGTACTCAGTACTTAACTGAGTTTAAATAAACTATAGGGAGCAAACCTGTCAGAGTATTGAACTCAATAAAAGAGCAAATAGAATATATATATGCGCGTTTGTGAATGACTGAGTAGGTGTTAAGACTGAATGCAGAAACTATCTCTCTCTTCTTTGAAAATACAATGCAAAATTTATCCCTACTGTGAGACTATTTCTGTTGCAACAAAAAAGATTGTTGTTACATTCTATAGAGAGGAAAAAACGAACTTCATCCGTGTGTGTGTGTGCGTGTATGTAGCCATTCAGTTGATGATAGAATAACATTTTACGCTTTAGTCTAGACTTGATAAGAAAATTCTACCTATTGAATATAGACACATTGAACAGCAGATATATATCTGAACACAGTTTTCTTCTTCTTCTTTTTGGCACATGATAAATGAATATGATTAGAAAAGCGATAAGGAGAGAAAGGAAAGAGAGACACGGAAGACTGAAGTATTATTCTTTCATAAAATATATAGTAGAGAATGACATAAGATCAGTTGCCTGGATAAGCTTTTTTATACGTGACATGTTTCTTTATCGGGCAATAAATTAGGCGTTTTTGTCTTCACAACCTGCCCTCATCTCACTCCCTCCGCCGCCACCCCCCTCCAATAAATACACCTTAGAACAAACGTTTATGTTAAATCAATTGCCAAGATGGATTTTAAGGATACTGCAAGAATTAGAGAGGAGGTGAAGTGGCATGGAAAGAATATGTGTAGTTCAGTAGAACAGAGGAGAACTGAATGGACACAGAAAGTTTAAGGAAATGAGGGCAAAGTTAAACTTTAAGCACCACTGACTACCACCAATCAGTGAATGACTTTGAACGCACCAGTCATATGAAGGAGGCATTTTTGGGTATGGAATACATATAATTATTAAAAAAGAAATGCATAGAAACTGTATAAAAGTGTTACAGAGGATATCTTTCTCTCACATGTGATAAAAACATCTCAGTTTAGCATAGGAGTATCAATGGAGAAGTTACACCACATCCTACACATATATTCATCTAAATGACACCTGATATCTATGGTCGGCCTGCTAAATTTGGGCTACCGATATCACTTGCTGAAAATTTCATGCTTGTACCAAAATACTATGTGGAATCAAGCTATAATAAAATAAATAAATAACATCGCTGAGCCATCCATTAATGGCTCTAATCCGGTTTTTAAACCTTCCCCCAAGGCCTTTGATAGAATTGGTTTGAGTCCCTGTTATTGGATCCACAAAATCATTAGAACGGTTGACTCTGTGGCGAATATATCCAAGAGATGACAAGGAGTTATAACCTTTCCTGTCGTCTGTGTGTATTATAGATCCCTTTTTCACCAGCAAAGTAACAATAGGTGTTAAAGTGTGGTGAGAGCTGTCTACTAGCCAAAATGGTAGACAGTAATTTACGTCAATGTTTACGTTCTCAAGATTTGTCGTGAGAAAATGTGAACAAAGACTGATTCAAAACCGACCACAGCAGACTTTGCGTAGGCGGATACAGTTAACATATAGATGATCTGACATTCAAGGAACAGTCACAAAGAGATGAAAGATTAACTCTAGGTGAGAAACAACCAATCAGAAGACTGTGTTTGTTTGCTTAACTAAACTATAATAATGTACATGAAAATATATAAATATGCTTTGATTTCCTTAATAAACGATCTTTTGCCTGGCCCTTGTCTTCTGTTGTTACAAAAGTACCTGACTTTCTGTTTGCTATTCTCTTGACGAATCATTTCTGTAGAGAGGTATCATATAAACCGATCACCCAAACATTATTCGCTCGTTCTCAACCACGGTTGTATTTTTTCTTTAATAAGACAGTTTCATCTACATGTACGACAATACCTTCTGCTCCCATCAAGGAAGTAGGCCTCTCCATTTTTCAGGATGCGATATCCCTGCAGCGCTGGTACCGCTGAGCTGCTGATACGAGACTATTTTCAGTTTCAGCAGCAGAGCCTCTCACAGGCTGTTTTAAAACCCAGTAATTACAAATATACAAAATCTGGGTTAAGGAAAGATGGGATCTGGCAAAAAATGTTCCTACGAAATATTAGAACCATCAGCTTTCCTTCCCTGACACTAACTCGTCTCAAACAAATTGCACAACGATGCACATAACAATCAACAGACCTGCTGAAGCTTTTTATAATCATCAGGCCTCTACATGAACGAATCCTTTCTTTCCTAATTAACCCCACATCTAAGCAATACTGCAAAACTTGGTCCTCACCAAGTTACAGACACAAATGCTTTAGAGCAGGCATTTGACTCAAATCAAGCAGAATAGAAGCTTCAATTCACGTGAATAGAACTCATTGGACCATTCAAGGTCACTGGTGCGGACGCACTCTGTTGGCAGTTACTAGTGCTTAAAGTTTAACCTGGCCGAAATGAGTTCCAATAAGTAACCGGTGAATCAGAAGTCTAAAGTTCCCTTCGCTTCTGAAAGTTTGGTGGGGGGCAATGCCGAAAACTTCCACATACCAAAAAAAATTGATTCACAGTTTAAAGTAGGGATTTGCATGTGGCTGTTGAATTATCGCCATTTTGATCTTAATTTTTAATCATTTAACAAAGTAACTGAACAAATGTATACCTGGGCTTATATTATAGTTTCAAAAATGTTTATATTATATATATATATATGTATATATATATATATAAATTGTATGCAACAAGGTGTATTTAGCTTTAGATTGTGGTGTTTAACTGATGATAGTTAACACGTAAATGAAGCACGAATTAAATCTAAATGCGTATAATGTAGTCATAGTATTCTAAAAATTACTTCTAAATAAACGTTAAACACAAAACAACGTTAAATGCACATAGATACGGTTAACTGGATTTGCACACATTGAAAAACACAAAAAAGGTACTCTGGATAAAGGCATTACACGCCTAATAATCCATAACAAAATATCAGTGTAAAAAATTCAATGTTTTAACAAGTAAGAGTAAACTTTATTTAGTTGAAATAAAAAGATATCCTTTAAAACAATTAGTTCCCTTTATGAATTTAGACAAAGCAATAAGAATACGTAATTTGTCTGAATCGTGTAATGTGTATTTGCGCAACACATTTCGAACAATCTAACCACACACGGACTTGTCATAGGAATACACATATATATTAAAATAATAAAGAGTTAAAGGGTGAGAAAATAGACTTCGATCAAGTTAAAAGGATATATTGAAGGTCAAAATAACAATGAAGATCACTAAACCAAATAACAGAGGTAATAGTATCAAAACAAAGTTTACCAAGGAAGGTTGGTTTACTGTGATGACAAATTGTTTCTGAACGCATAAAGGTGGTTTAAACTTCCTAATTGCTAGGGATTCCACAAACTTTAGGATACGCTCCAAACACGTATTATAGATAGGTTTAAAAGACGTGTAAACATTAATTGTATGTCCTGTCTGTATAATATGTATCGCAATATAGGAGCTAGGTCTCCTGTCCTCCCCATTAATGGGTTCTGGGGATTCTATTTGCTTCTGGAGCTATTTAGGAATATGCTCTGGAGCACTTACTTGCAGACAAATTACGTCTTCTTACTGCTTTATCTAAAAAGATATACAACTGTTGTAGTGGAACAACTTGATATTTCCATTGAATGTTTCGTCTACAAATATTTTGAAAGTATACACTAGCAAAGACCGTCTCCCCTAGCTATATATGAAACGTAAATAATTAAGAGTTGAGCTGACTAGTTTACAACCCAAAGCTACAATATAAATAGGATCATTGTTTCATAGCTTAGATCTTTTTGAACTAAGGTGTAATGTCGTGAAAAAAAACGAAATGTTACCACTCAACAACCACTTGCGATTTCATGCAGTTGACAATGAGCCCCACTTGTTGTGTAATGGCTAGTGATACTATCTGGTCGGCTAAACTTCAGTAGGCGGGTTTCGAACTCGTGGCGCACCTAGATCTCTAAAGAGTTCCTCATCATAGGTAAGAACTTTAATGAAAGATATTCTAATGATACATTTGTTATTACACTTAATGCGATTGTAGTCTTTATGAAAGTGTGAAGATTATAACTGGAATGTTATTGATTTGTGTTACATATGACAATTTAGGATATGAAGTATTGTTAAATGAGAATAATATCGAAAGTAGTCAAGCTGAATCACTGCAACAGTCTCGCTGAATCCTAATCTGAATAGTACAAAATTGTGACAAACAAATGAGGTATTTGAAGGCACTGGAGGTGTTTACCTTTATTCCCATTATCTCTTATCTTTGCCCTATAAAGATTTACATATAATTATCATTTCTCAATCTTTCATCGTCTTCACTTCTCCCTGCTATGATGACAGGGATTGTTTTAATAAGTTGAACTAATACATAAATTAATCCAATCCCTACAAAATACATAATCTAAATATCAATCTCTAGCTCATCAGAGGCTGCTGGATGGATGCCCCAAAGTTGTAAAGAGAAGTCTTGGCCAGTGGGATCCATCGTGTTAAACTGAAGTGGTCATCGATGTCATTGACTAGCCTTAGCGCTATATCACGAATTGAATTCACAGATGGGTGAATTTTAGCCCAACTGGCTGAATGGTCGACGAGTTTTGCCTCCTAACGTGAAGGTCCCGAGTTCGATTCTTGGTTGTGCATTACTGAAGAGTCCCAAACTAGGACAAAACAGCTACCCAGTGCTCCCTGGTTTTCAAATGTCTCTCACTGATTTGGGTTTGTGACAAGTCTAAGTTGAAATTAATACACAAGTACCATAGTTAACACTATCCTCAGTTTTTATACAATATTGTCACAGTAAATCATTTGAAAATCCAAACATTATATACTTCAAAGTACTTCAGAGAATGAATGAAAATTTGAACTCACTTTCTCCTCTTTTAATGCTTGAACAACAGAATCCAACTGGATCATACGTCCCTCTAAGTCTTCTAAACGTTGTTCTACAACATTTTTACTACTTTGTAGATCAGATAACTGAGTTTTTAGTTCAGTATTCTCCTTACGTAAACGTTCCACTTCATTACGTGCAGCTATACAACATGGTTCCGGATGATGATGAAGATGATGTGCATTTAGATGATTTTGTGCAACACCATTAGTATTTTCTGTATTATAAACGTTTATTAGTGAATGCAGTGTAGTATTCTTCGTTTGTTCAGATGATTTCACGAGATTAACTGTTGAATCTGCCACAGAAACAGAATTATTACTAGTATCACTCATAGTAGAAGCAGTTGTAGTAATACAACTATTGGTTGTAGGTACACTAGCTCTATGTTGAACTATACGACCAGTATGCGATAAATGTAAACGACGTGAACCAGGTACAGGGCCTGGACGACTTGTTATCGGAGGCATTGGACCTGTGGAATCAGATTCATCATCGTCAACGCCATCACCATCAACACCTTTATGTTGTTGTCGAGTTCTACTTGATTCTTTTCCATCAATAGGTGATATTGGAGAAGCTAATGAACTATTACTATTATCAATTAGTAAAGTCTCTGTTAGATTTTGACGACCATTATCTTCACAATTCATATTTGTTGTTTGTACATTCACAGAAAGTGCTGTTTGATCTGTAGATGAAAGAGAAACAGCAGGGGAGGAAGACGATACGATTGTCTGAGTGGTGTTTAAACAGTTGTTAGCAGCATCATTGATGTCCACTTCACCAGCTACCTAAACATGTGAAAGTGAAGGGAAAAATAATTAAATAATAACCTTCGTTGATATATAATGGAAAAAAAAACTTCAGCTAGAAATACTGACCTGATTGGAAGTCAGAATGACAATTTAGATTAGCAAATAAATCCAAGACAACAAGGGACCCTGGCAACGAACCAGCTAAGGACTCATCGCCCAACAAATATGCCAAAGGAAATGATGATGGATCGGACACACGCTAAAGAGCCCGTTGAGTAACATCATCTACCCGCCTGACCCCTCAAGTAGAACCCAAATGGATGTCTGAGGGTGACATGGAGGAGATTGTATGGGGAGGAGCTGAGAGCTGATGAACAGTCAGTCATAGAGCCAGCTAAAGAGGACTGAAGAGAAGAGGACGAAATGGAGATGTGCTATTGAAGCGTTGTGTTCCACTCGGAACATAATGGAATAATAATGTCTCTGTTGTAATTCTGTAAAATAATCCGACTCAGTAAAATGCTACGTACTGCATGAAAGCTCATGATACTTACTGCTCAATCACTTAGGTTGAGGTACGTGAGATTTTCAGTACTTTATACTCACGACCCCGTGATAGACTGCAACAAAGGCCTTCAGGGATCTAAAGGAGTATGCTAACATTCAGTCAACAGGTTGGTACTCAACGTTTGATGATTTGAAACTTCTTCGGATTATTGGTACAGTCCCAACAGAGTTCGATGTCAGTCGGTGGTGAGCGACAGCTATTCTTATATCTGACTCCGTAGACTCTATAGGCTGAAACGTTTATAAAGTTAGTAAGTTGATGAAGCAGCATTGTATAAGTATGAATAATTGGTCATTATTGTAGTACACTATAGAAAATAGTAAAACTTACAATACAAAAACAATTGCACAGAAAAAGACGTTATCTAACAGAAAAACAATTGTTGGTGGAATTACATCGACTACCACAGGTTGATATTTATGTAATAGGTAATAACTATAGTCTTGTTTTTAATCCCAGTTAGTCTGTACCACCACAAAAAAACATAAGTAATTATATAATTCATAAAGAGCGAATTATTCCGTTCCACATTGGTTAAACAGCCAATCAATCGGAATAACATTTGCGATAAGTAGGCACCAATAACAGAAAGCCTGATACCATTTTTCAAGGCAAACCATCACATCGCAAATCACATATAAACACTGACCAACGATGCACATTTCTCTTCATTCTGATAGCGTTGTATTACGCTCACAGTAGTCATGAATCTATGTTAAGATACTCTACAAGGCTAGATATATAGAAACTAACTTTGCCAGCTTACAAATCTTTGATAAACCACAAGAATTCTACTGCACTGAATGAATTATCTGGACGATAAAAGGGAATAAACAGGGAGAAAGGCCCGGATCTAGGTTTCTAGCTTACTGATCTCAGTTAGCATGGTGTAACCTGCAAACTAGGTCGATCGACTCTGGTCAGTCAGCGCTAAATATTAGACAACATGGTGTTAGTCACTCTTTAGTGACAAATCAATGTATCACTAAATGAATCTTTTCTTTTCAAGCTGGACTAGGTTTTGTCAGCATCGCAGTTGGGTGTGACAAAAGACTTGATAATTATCTTAAAAGGGTGTCGGCTGCCAACTTAAACCTCAATGAAATATCTGTTTAACAGTCAAAATTGTTACAAGTCATTTATTAAATGATTTAAAAACTATGCGCGCATTCCAAAAACAGTGCTAACATTCCATAAACAGTAAACAATTGAATCTGACCGGTTCTGACACCTTCCCTGATTGTACAGTGGTGAATTTCACCGACTGTCATGTGGAAGGCCGAGCTTCGATTCCCGGCAGAGAAGGTGGCTTGCGAGTCAATGTTCTGTAGTAGAATACTCGCAACCGACCATGCAAGTCATCCTTATCCGATTCCCTGCCAATGCACTCATAAACCTCACCTAGTTCACGAGTTTGCTGTAATCCCGGAAGAGAAGGAAAGTCGAGCGTGGGGCTAGTAATGCCATTCCGTGGAAAACAACACCACCGCTACTGAAAATTTAAATCTCAAGCTTGAAACCGTATGTTCCACTCGGAACGAAAAGGAATGAAAAAACAAACAAACGTGGTTACAATACCTAACAAAAAGGTGCTATGTATGCGAGTTTTTTTAAAGGGTATACTACTATCGATGTGTGAAACGACCGTTTGATCATTTAGGTCATCTTTAACGCAATGACCACTGAATACTTAGATATCATTTGTGTGTTTTATCAATGGTATGTGACATTTAACCTCATCATTATAAACATCAACACGCTAACTATACACATCAGTAATAGGACAAAAGTAACTTTTAAACAGAAAAAATTAATAGAAAATGTAGATACTGACTGACTGGTTTCAACGTTTCAACTTTGCACAGATGTGCAGTAGTTCGAGTTGCCACACTCCATGTAGCACATAAAGCAAGAGAAGAGAGATTTAAAAGAGAGATAATAAAACAGAAATATAAGGCAAAAAGAATAGGATTTTATTGGATATTACAAATCACAAAGAGTGAATGCATCTGCACCATTGAGAACGATTTTGAACCATATCGCAAATTGTCTCCAGCCACTGATTTTTACCATCCCAAGGACCCCAACCAGACAGCAGTCTACACCTCCCTACGTGGCTTAAACTAACTTGTAGATTTCATTGACTGATGAAGCCATATTTTCGTTTGCCCACCACTAGCTCTTTTCCAACTTGATCCTATGTCAGCTAACATTGCCCGTCGAGGAAGGCGATGCCTAGGCATACGTAACACATATTTAATTGGTGGATGGTGAGTAGCAGTGGAATCCAGGATGCACATTTCGTCCTATTTGGGACTCGTCAGTTGGATGTACCTGCATTTCTCAGTGAGTGATGATGTTTCCACCGAGGCTCGAACCCAGTGCCCATAGTTTCAAACGCCAAAGTGTTATACACTTGACCACTTGGGCCACGAGAGTCACCTCTTGTGCAACGGGTCATATTGATTTAATTGAATTTAAGATTTTCCCGTCGAGCCTCGGTGGGAACATCATCACTCACTGAGAAATGCAGGTACATCCAACTGACGAGTCCCAAATAGGACGAAATGCGCATCCTGGATTCCACTGCTAGTCAGCATCCACCAACTAAATACTAATTAAATGCCCAGACATCGTCGAAGCATCTGCTCAAGAAGCCGACATGTCAACCTGAGACCGAGCACTTCGGTCCAATCAATCGACGGGAAAATCTAAAATTCAATTAAATACGTAACACATATCCTAAACATCTCAATCGGTGTAACTTCGTCGATTGATTTCCCCTCCTTACTTAGCATTCAACCGAAGCCTAACTTCAATATTGTTCACCTTATTATACCATTAAACAACGGAGATACAACGCAGAAAAGGTAGACACACAAAAAAAGGAATATAGTATAGTGAAAAACGAATAATTTTCTCTTTATGAGTCATCTACTGACAGAACTACATTCTAGCAATAAATTATATATATTTGTTTTTGGACATGTCTGGCTTTAAATTGGTATTTGTGCTAACATAAAACACATACACACTATAGAAAATTAATGTCCCAGTTTTTGTATTTATTCAACTGAAAATTTCTGACTGCCTTCTGTGATAGTACAACATACTATAATTGTTGCCCTCAAGTCAGGTTAGAAAAAGCGAAGAGGAAAAATATAGTTAAATGCCTTTATCCTTCTCTTTTCAGTACTAAAACTAATATCACACACATGTAATTATTTTCTTTGAAAGTATGCAGACATTAACTGGTTTTATCCACTGAACAGTGAAACGTGACTAATGCATTTTTTAGAACAACACATTTAAGCGAACAATATTGTTTTCAATTAGATCTCATCAGGCTTAACTCTAATATATATAAGTTTACAAATAAAATTCAAATATAAACCAATCATGGTGTTTTGTCTATAGGATAATACGATGGTGAATATAAATTGTGCAATTAGTCATAATAGTAGTAATGATAATAATAATTATAGTAATAATAGAAATGGTCTTATCAATAATAAGGATGAAAAAGTGAGGCAATCTGTGATAACACGAATAATGAAAAACAGCATGATTAAACAAACAACTGTTCAGGTGGAAGTAGTCGATAAAGGCTAGTAAAAACAAATGAACCGATTAAGTAATGTTAGATTGTAAGGGAAGGAAATGAAACACGTTTATAATGAAGATAAGATTAAGGGATGATAAGAAAGGGGATGAAAATACAAACAAAGGGTGGTGTAGAAGTTATTAGTTGGTTACGTCCTAATAGGCCAAGGGAGGGATAAAGGCTGTACGAACTTTTTTTGAATACATAATTTAGGTTTAATAGTTCCATTTCATGGAACAGCGAAGTGGTTAGTGAAGATTTTGGATTCCTTTGCACAGAGAAATCGTGCAACATAGAATTAGCGATGTCTTTGACTTTATTTCCAAAATATCCGAGACTAATGTGATGTATAAACGCATGTTATCCATGGATGTATCATCACTATTCACTAATGTACCGCTTATGGAAACAGTAGACTATATTTGTCAAGAAATCGCCGAAAGGCAATTAGACTTAGGAATCCCCTTGTGTAGCCTCAAAGAATTACTTCTTAAATGCACAATGAATGTTCACTTCGTCTTTAATAATGCATACTATCGACAAGTAGATGGAATAGCTATGGGTTCACCATTAGGCCCAATGTTAGCTGACTTCTTTCTCGCAAAACTCGAAAACGGGAAATTGAAGGACATCATCAAGCAGTTTGATATGTATTATCGATATGTCGATGATACATTTATCTTAGCGGACGAGAATGTTAATATAGACGAATTGTTGCTGAAATTCAACAATATCCACCCTTCGCTTACCTTTACTTGTGAAGAGGAGCAGGACAATAAACTACATTTCCTGGATGTCTTGCTAAATAAGAGAGAAGATGGGTCACTTGGGAGAAGCGTGTATAGAAAAAGCACTTTCACAGGG